AATTTCAGTCTCTTTGGTAAAGTATTTCTTTTGTTCATTAATTTTCTTAGTTCATTGAATCACCATTCTGAGTTTATTTTGTATCTCATTGAGTTTCTTCAAGCTGCTATCTTGAATTCTCTGTCATTGAGATCACAGTTTCTTTCATGAGTTTGAGTTTGGTTTATGGCGACTTGTCATTTCCTTTTTGGGTTATCACGATACTTGATGTATTGTTCTTCTGCTAGTACTGTTTTGATTTTAACAATTCAGCATGTTGATTATTATAGATTTTTCTTTTGTTTTCTAGTATATAACACTATAGTGCCAATTCTTCTCCTCTCTTACTTGTTACTTGTGCTGCCAGGGTTGTGGTGAGAGAGGTGTTGCCTTTGTCATGGGAACTGACTACTGGGTGGTGGGTTTCCCCACTGTGTGCAGGTCATCTTGGTTTCAGGGCACCACCTCAATGGTGCAGGAATGTGGAAAGCAGGGGAGAGCTCATGAGCCTGTAGCACTGCCTGCTTGTTACTAATGACTTCTAGTACCTCTGTGCTGTTCAGTCCTTTCCAGTGCTGTTACCAGGTTTTCTCACAACGGTTGGGGGTGGGGGGTGTGTGTGGCTTCTTGGGCTTTTGCCCCTATTACCCTCTGCTGGGCCATAGTGTGTGGGCTGCAGTGTGGGGGCCACACTGTGATTCCTCCACTGCTACTGCAGCAGCTGCCAAACTGTCTCTGTTGACACCATCCCAGTCCTGCCTGCCTCCCCTGCACATTTAAATGCACCCACTTGCAGATTACTCATGTGTGGATTTCTCAGGAGTGTTTGTGTGTTGAGATGAGCCTTTGTTGGATTACAGATGTCCTACTTGTAAAATTAAGGGTAAAGAATTCTTCCCACTCCACTATGATGCTTACATCACTTTCCTCAAGTGTGTTTCTCTTTTTCTGTGGAGCACAGTTATAAGAATTGCTAAAGCCTTCATGTGACAATTCCAGCACTAGGTCATCTCAGGATTCACATGTATTGCTTTTTGTCACTTGAGAGTGTTCATATTATTATGGTCTTTTGTATGTCAAGTAACTTTGGATTGTCGTGGACATCGTAAATATTATTGTGGGTTCCTCCATAGAATTAGGAGGTCTCTTTCTTTCTCTGCTGTGGGATTCTCTCTCACTTTAGCCTCCTAGGGGACCCTTCTCTTTCTGAGAAAGATGGGTTTCTTAATCTCAGATTTTATTTAGCTAGCCACACATGGCCACCACTGCAATGCTCATACAGGGGGGGTCTGCCTTTGAAGTATGTCATATGCTCATGAGAGCCACCTCAGCAATTGTTTCCTTATTTACTACAGTCTGATGCTTCCCTGTGCAGATGTTTCACCATACTGATATCCCAGCGCAATCCATCTGCTTTTAATTTCAGCATCCTCAAGTAGTTTTTTCATATTCTTGCAAAGAGATTTTAGTTGGAATCAGTGGGAGAAAGAGAGACAGTCCTTGGCTTATGGTGACATAATGGAACTGGAACTCTGCAACACTTACTGGGAGTTTGACCTTGAAAAAGCGACTTAAATCTCAGTGCTCTAAAATGGTCATAGCGACAGTACCTACCTCATTGTTAATTTTTGGCATTATTTTTAGAATAAAATATGATTATGGGCATTAGGCACTGGTAACAGGCAGTAGTAAGTGCTCAATAAACATTAATAGTTATTACTGTTTATGTATGTTCCATAAGAGTGAACATTGTGGATTGGGATAACTAGAATAAAAAAATTAAAAACTAAGAAGTTAGAGGTTTGTTGGGTTGGCTACCTTGATGTTGATGCTGGAAAGTTCAAATGGGAGGAAAATATTTAGAAAAGCAAATTTTTTTTTATGCCAATTTTCAGGCACTGGAATTATACCCTCTTTTTCAATTGATACCTATGGCAGTAATCAAAACACAGAGTTTCAAGGACAGTTAAAGCAGGTTGCAGGTATGCCTTTTATAAAATACCAAGTTAAATGAGAATGAAGACCTTACAAGGTGGGGCAAAAGTAGGTTTACAGTTGTGAGTACACAAAACATATTTTATTCTTGTTATTATTATTTTAATCCTCATCTGAGGATATGTTTCCATTGACTTTGGAGATGAAGGAAGGGAAGGAAAGGGGGCAGGGGGAGAAAGAGAGAGATATGGATGTAAGAGAGACATATCAATTGATCGCCTCCTGTACTCGTCCCAACTGGGGACTGAATCCACAACCTAGGTATGTGCCCTGACTGGGGATCAAACATGCAACCTTCTTAGTGTATGGAACAATGTTTCAACCAACTAAGCCACCTAGCCAGGGCTATTAATTATTATTTTTCTTTTCAGCAAAATTTAGCTCTTTTATTTATATATATTTCTAAAATTATTTTATTATGCTATTACAGTTTCCCCATTTTTTTCTCCCCTTTATTCCACTCTCCCTTGCAGCCCCTTCCTACAAGTATTCCCTCCCCCTCCTTAGTTCATGTCCATGGGTGGTACATGTAAGTTCTTTGCATTCTATATTTCCTATTCTTTTTTCTTATAGTCTACCTAAAAATTTTTTTATTTATAAATCATTTATTCTATTACAGTTACCTCAATTTTTACCCCTTTACCCCCCTCCACCCATCCCACCCCCACCCCCCACTCCCACAGTCAAATTCCCACTCTGTTGTCTATGTCCATGGGCCATTCATACATGTTGTCTAGTCCCTTCCCCTTCTTTCCACCATTGTCCTCTTTCCCCATCCTCCCTGGATCCTATAATATTCTTAACCTCCCCCTACTTTGTACCTACCAATTATGCTTCTTATTCCCTGTACCTTTTTCCCCATTCTCCCCAACCCCCACCACTGAGAACCCTCCATTTCTGTGAATCTGTTTCTGTTCTAGTTGTTGTTGTTGTTGTTTTTAATGTTCAGTTGTTGATGGTTGTAAATTTGTTTTCATTTTACTATTCATAGTTTGGATCCTCTCTTTCTTAGATAAGTCCCTTTAACATTTCATGTAATAAGGGCTTGGTGGTGATGAACTCTTAACTTTTACCTTATCTGGGAAGCACTTTATCTGCCCCTCCAATCTAAATGATAGCTTTACTGAAGAGTAATCTTGGATGTACAATCTTTTGTATAGTGAACTTGTATAGTGTGTTTAAATCGGACACGTTTCAAGCTAGGTAATACATCAGTGTCCGCTTGCCAATCATGGAGTGAATATTCTGTTTTATACTATAAAGTTACAGAAATGCCAAACTTGTTTAATTGTTTTCTTATGTTTTGGGTGTAATAGTCCTTTTTTTTTTTTTAAAGGCAGGCCTGTCATTTTGAATACTGTAAACTGTGATAAACTTTATATTGAAGCTGTATTTTCTATGACTGCTTTGAATCCTTACATGAAAATGTTCTAGGAGCTGTTATAAAAACACCCCAAAGAAGCAATATTTAATAAAACTAGGTTTAAAAAAAAAAGAGTAATTTTGGATGTAGTCCTTGCTTGTCGTGACTTTGAATACTTCTTTCCAGCCCCTTCTTGCCTGCAAGGATTCTTTTGAGAAATCAGCTGAGAGTCGTATGGGAACTCCTTTGTAGGTAACTGTCTCCTTTTCTCTTGCTACTTTTAAGATTCTCCCCTTATTTTCAATCTTGGGTAACTTAATTAGAATGTGCCTTGGCATGCTCCTCTTTGGGTCCAACTTCTTTGGGACTCTGAGCTTCCTGGACTTGTATGTCTATTTCCTTCACCAGATGGGGGAAGTTTTCTTTCCTTATTTTTTCAAATAATTCTTCAATTTCTTGCTTTTCCCCTTCTGGCATCCCTATGATTCAGATGTTGGAACATTTAAAGTTGTCCCAGAGCTTCATAAGCCTCTCCTTTTTTTGAATTCTTGTTTCTTCGTTCTGGTCCAGTTGAATGTTTATTTCTTCCATTTGTTCCAAATCATTGAGTGCTGGTTTCCTTCCCTTCACTGCTAGTTGCCTGTGTATTTTTATTTCACTTTGTATAGCTTTTAGTTCTTCCTTTATTTTGTGGTCATACTCAATCATTTCTGCGAGCATCCTGATTACCAATGTTTTGAACTCTGCATCTAATAGGTTGGCTTAGTTCTTTTTCTGGAGTGTTAATCTGTTCTTTCATTTGGGCCATATTTCTTTGTGTTGGTACACCTGTTATGTTGTAGGGGGCAGAGCCTTAGGTATTCCTCAGGGCAGGGCAACCCACTTTACTGGGTTGTGGTGTTCTATGTGGCAGAATGGAATGCTGCTCGCTCAGCTCTTGTCCCGCTTTGTCACTTCCCCCACTTCCCACAAGCAAATTGAGCCCTCAAGGTGCTGCCCTGGTGTTGACTCGCAGGTGGGTGGGCTTGTATATGTTCTAGGACCTCGTGGGACCCTCCAACGGATTCTCCTGTGAGACCGGCAGTTTCTCCCACCGTCAAAACCCCCCAGATTTTTACAGCCAGTTTTGAGGCTTTGTTTGCCTGGTGCTGGGACTCTGGGTTGTGATGTCTGTCTCACTCCCTAGTTGTTCCTCCTGGTTTATCTGCACACAAAGGTGGGACTGCCCAGTCTGCCACACACTGCCTTGCCTCTTGTCCTCTCTGCCCCCGCTGCCTGTCTCCAACCCTCCTACCAGTCTGGATGAATGTTTCTTCTTTAACTCCTTGGTTGCCAGACTTTATTAATCCAGTTCAGTATTCTGGCAGTTTTTTTAAATTGGTTGTTATCCTTCTTGTGGTTGTGTGACTAGGTGAAGTGTATTACCTACATTTCCATCTTGGCCAGAAGCTCCCTAATTATTGTATAATTTTTCTTATAAACAACTGTAAATCTACTTTTGTTCTGCCGATTATAGTAAGGAAATAATTACTGATACGGAACACTGCTTTCCAGTGAAATAACCCAATTTTCCCTTCATGCCTTTTTATTATGGGGAAAAAAATGAAAACCAAGGTTATTTATTTTCTGGTAATACTATTGCTTCCATTTGCTCTTCTGCTAGATGGCTGAAAAAGAACATGCAGCCCACTGAAGATCTTCATTCAATCATTGAGAGGCTGTCCTTGTTTGGGCCAATTAAGTCAGTCAACCTTTGTGGAAGGCAAAGTGCTATTGTGGTGTTTGAGAACATGACTTCAGCTTGCAAGGCTGTGAATGCTTTTCAAAGCAGGATTCCGGGCACAATGTTCCAGTGTTCTTGGCAACAACAGTTCATGTCAAAATATGTAAGACTCTTTGTTACCAAAAACCTGTATAAATTCTTTTAAGTTGTCAAAATGTTTATTTTGAAATGGAATCTTAAAACAAAGGAGAGCAATGTTCACATCTGAATGAAATGTATGACATGTCCTTGGATTTCTGAATACATTGTGGACCCTGTGCTGGAATACCAAGTTCCAACTGTGAAGTCAATAACTGAGCAGTCCTACTACGCAAGAGTAAAAGTTAATCTTCCATATAAACACTAGACAAGATTTTGGCATAGGATTTACTCAGAATAACACTACAATAGGACAAATGAGAAAAAAACTGTTAAAAAAGAATAAAGTGATAATGCCATCTATTTAAAGCTCACAAAAGAATATATTTTGTTTAGTAAAAAAAGTTTAAAATAGTGCAATAGCAATATGTGCAGTGTATTATATTTGACATTAAGAATTATTCTGCACATGACATAAAATAATTAATGTAGGTGCTTGAAACTTTAGTTTGAAGTACAATAAATAATCATATGCCAGAAAACTCCTCGCAGGCAAGAGTACAAACTACACCTTGGAATCCAAGGAAACAAAACTAGTCTCTAGGTTTCCTGGTAGACACTCATTTTTCAAGACAGAAATGCTGCATCTAGAGCTATTAGGCTATGCAACAGTAAAAAAAAAACCAGTTTCTTCTTTCTGGCAGTGCTTAAAATCTAAGCAAGAACAGTCATACTCAAAAGCAGCAAGAGGTACCTGACTATAGAAAAATTCTCTATTTTGTGTGTGATATAATGAGGCACTAATTTCAAAAGGCTGCAACAAATCTAGTGTATTAATATTCTTAAAGTATCAATGTTTAACTCAGTGTAAGTTTTAAAACGATCTTTCATGAAAAGATTTTACACTCCAGTGAAAACCCTGAAAGTTACCTACATCATAGTGATATAGAAGTCATTTTGGATCTGCACCCCCCGGCAAATTCCTTGATTTTTATGGGGTCAAGTTTGAATCCCCTCAGCTGGAGTTAAAGTGTAACAAATCTCCTGCATCCTAATAATCACAGGCTAAAAACCAGCTCTCAACAGTTCCAGAGCATCAAAAACAAGTATGCTACGGCCCTCCAACCTCTTCCCATTGGTTATTTATGTGAAATATTCAATAGTGATTTTGCCAAAAAAGGGTTGTTAGGAAAAGAGCACCTTTTAAATGAACCTGGCTACTGTGCAGAATTGTGGCTACCTCAGTGATTTTTTTAAAAAAAGTTTATTGTGGTATCAGTATAGCAGGAGAGTTAATTTAGCTGATTCAGTTTCCACCAGCATTCTAATGGGGAAGGAAAACCATTTCCACATATGATGATTTAAGATAAGTGTAACAAAACTACAAAATTCAGATTGTCTAGTAGTTGTAGTTCTGAAAATGCATCTTTTGACTTGGGTAATTCTGTATGGGAAATAAAAATTAGATGTAGAATTCTAAAACTGCCAGGTTGAACACGTTTCTCAATGAAGGAACGACGCTACTTTGGGTGAAATTCTTCATTGGGTGCAACTGTCCGTAGCGTGCAAGATGTTAACCATATTTGGCGCTGGGCACTAAATACACATGAAAACTAAAAATATGGCCAGCATTCCCAAACACCATTAAGTGACAGCCCTACTTCAGCGGAGAACCACTAGTAAAGTGTCACCAAATTCTATGACCTAGTGACTCCTGGGCAGGGCAGGAGTGGCAGCGGCAGCATCGAGGCCCCGCACATGGAAAGGCAGGGGCAGCAACCTGGGGTGGAGGACTACGGCCCCAACGCAGCTCCCACACTTCCACTGGAGTCAGGAGTTCAACATCAAACCTCTGTTAATTCTTAAAACATTTTTTCTTAAAATTTATTGATTTCAGAGAAAAAAGAAGGAAGGGGGAGAGGTGAGAAACATCGATTTTATTGCTGCACTTATTCATGGATTCATTGGTTGATTCTTGTATGTAACCATGACTGGGGATCGAACCTGCAGCCTTGTCATGTCAGGACAATGCTCTAAGCAAATAGGCTATTCAGCCAGGGCAAACCTGTGTAAATTCTTAAGCCTTGTTTTATGTAACTTGTTTATCATCGGGCTCTAGTAGAATATAATCATCATAAATAATAATTCATCAGTGAAAAAAGGCACAGTGAAGTTCGTTTAGTTCAAGTATAGAAAATCAGAAATTGTAGCACATCATTCCTTTGAAATACTTAACTCTGCTCTACTAGTCATCACAGTTTTGCTTTTTTGGATAAGAAGTTAATGGCTGCATTTATGCATTCGTCGGAAAGCACTCTTTCTTGGAGGGTACTACATTCTTCAGCATTAACAGCGTGTAGCTTTTCTTTCTCCACATTTCTGATGATCATTTTTGAAATTCTCAAGGACTATAAAAAACAAAAAACAATTAGTTTAAGACGTATTCTAACAGAGTGGGTTTATTATAAAATTCTGATTCTTGTTTTTCCATTGTTCATTTAATCCAGTTATGCATTAAGATGTATGTGTAATATAAGACAGTGCTTCTCAAACTTGAATGTGCACACTTTAGATAGATACTAAAGCTTCTAGTTCCTAGACTGCAATTTTGAGTAACAAAAATGTAAGAGCAATCAGCACTAGCTAGTGCATGTGAAAATGAAAGTGCTACATTAAGAATCTCCTAAAAGTCAACCTATCTTATCTGCTTTCTCACCTAAAAACTGTTTGGCAAATACTGCTTATCATTTTCCTCAAAGTCATCCCCAGAAAGAAATGCACCTCTGCCTTCATATCATAGAAATGGAATGCCTATTTGATATGTTTTTGTGAAAATCAGAACTGCTACCATTATTACAGTTATTTTTAGTCTCAAATTTAGATGTACTTAAAGCCAACCAAGATATATCTTATTATTATTTTTTTGATTGCTTATTCTCTTAAGGTAAACAATTTATTTCCATGGTTCATACAAGGAAAAAAAAAAGACTACTAACATTTGGGGCGAGCTTTGAATATGCTTTCAGCCTGGCCCAAACTTCTTTCTGAAAAGTATTATCAGGAAAAACTTCAGTAACAAGTCCTTGAGCGCACGCTTCTCTTGCTGTTAACTTCTTTCCAAAAAGAAGCATCTCTTTTGCCTGAAATGAAATGCAAGACCCAGAAATTAACTTAATGAAATGAGGCTCAGTTAACTTATGGTCTTTGGAGGTTGCTAATGTTTCTCAGAGGAAGAAACTGATGACCTCAAATAGGCAATGGTTTGCAAACTGTGTACTGAGACCACCACTGGCTGCTTCTGTGTGTGTCTATGTTGGAGGTGCAAGAGCAGGGAACTGGGGACAGAAATGATTTGAAGCAGGTAATGATTTTATAACCCATGGGAGCTATGATTTTGTTTTATACACTATAAACAATTATTTAAAAAAGAAATTGCCATAGGAAATGCAAACCAACCTTCACAAACTCTTTCAAACTTCCCTTCCCTGAAAATTCTATCCAGTGGTCAAGCTCTGACAGTCTTCTTTTACCTGCACAGGTACTCAAATTAGTTCCATTTGACTGAGGGAAAGTGAGTAACACTAATGCTTATTTCTAACAAAACTGAAGTCACTGAGTATATATCCTTCTTCAAATTTGCAATTTCTCTTCCAGAAAAGTAAGACTATTTCACAGCCCAATGCTCTAAGCCTCAGGTTTAGTTCTGCCCAACATTCCAAAGTTAAAATCTCTATAACAATTTAGGGTATGTGACATACACTGAATAAAGAATAAAGAGATTATATATAAAAAATATATATGTAAATATATATATATTTACAACAAAACCCTAGTAGCAATGAAAACAGGCTCAATTTCTACTCCCCCTTTTAGAGCTTGAAGAACATCTGCTACGCTTTTCCCTTTCACCGTCTCTCTGGTCTTGTCACGATCCCTTTGGAGCCATGTACACAGAGTGTGTGCAATTATGTTTCCATAAACTCAGTGAAAGATTTGAGCAGCCACTTAGCCACTGTAGGAGCCTTGATACCTTGGTAAAACCAGCTAATGACTGGAAGTGGAAAACCCCCTGGGGTCTCACATCTGCTGGTACTTCACATGATTCTGAAAGTAAAGATGCCATTGTGTCACTTCCAGTGGATGATGCTTATCCACAAAAAATTTAAGGGCAGGAACCAGCCCAGCAGACTGAGGGAGGCTGGCACAACCCTCGTCTTTCACCTGAAGAACAGCGGTGGAGGATGCGGCCTGTGCCACTTGAGATGCCTCTGGTCCTCGGCAGCCAGCTGAAAAATCAGCTTCCCAGATTTTGGGAGCTGCAGAGTTTCTAATTTTTCCTCAGACATTTCCCATAGCCTGGTTCTTTGTATTTAAAATTCTTAAGAGTTGAGAAGCAGCTAATTTGCTTCTCTCTTGTTTGTATTATCAAGTGAAAAGAAGAGAGAGTATGATATTACTTTTGGAATAGAGATTAGTCATTTATTTTTTAAGGTTTCCAAAGGTTACCTTGATTGGGCCCATTATCTTCGGAAAAGTGTAAGAGGCGCATCCTTCTGGACTTAGGCCTAGCTGAGTAAAAGGAGTATGAAATGTTGCCTATTTGGAGAAAAAAAATAAGAAAGAAAATAATTTTTGTAGGTGATTTAAAAAAAATCATCATTTACTTAGTTGAGAAACTTTTTAAAAAAATTAGGATTATTGTGATATTATATACCTACAAAATTCACTCTTAACGTATGCAGTTTGATGAGTTTTAACAAATAGACAGTTATGTAGGCACCACCAAAATCAAGATACAGAACATTTCCATCCCCCCCAAAAGTTCCCTTGTGTCCCTCTACAGTCACCCATTCCTCTCACCCTTAAACAACCTCTGATATATTTTCCCCTAACACTCTGACTTTTCTAGAAAGTTATACAAATGGAATCATACACTGCATAGCCTTTTGTCCTTTTGTAGGAGTCTGTCCTGAGCATAAGGCTTTTGAGAATTACTGTTGTATATGTTACTAGTTTGTCCCTTGCTATTTCAAGTAGTATTCCATTACAGGAATGTCTTAATTTGTTCATCCTTTCATGAGCAGAAGCTATCAGGGGTATTTCCAGTATTTTGGCTACTATAAATAAGGTTGTTATGAACATTTGTGTACAGGTCTCTGCAGGAAGATGTTTTTAGTTCTCATGGGTAAATACGTAGGCGTGGAATTGTTGGGTTATGTGGTAAACATATGGTTTAACTTTGTTAAGAAGCTGCTAAACTATTTTCCAAATTGTTGTACCATTTAAAATTCCCACTAGCAGTGTATAAGTTCCAATTGCTCCACATCCTCGCAAAACTTTGTTATTATCAGTCTGTAACTTTAACTGTCCTAATAGGTATGTCGTGGTATCTTGCTATGGTTTCAGTTTACATTTCCCTAATGATTACTAATGTTGTGCATCTTTTCATGTACTTATTAGTCATTTGTACATATTCTATGGTGAAGTAACTATTACAAATACTCTGCCCACTATTTTTAAATTAGATTATCTTTTTATTATTGATTTGTAAGAATTCTTTATATATTCTGGTTAAAAATCATTTTCTCAATGGTGACTTTCTCGTATGTTTTTAAGAGCTATTTATACTTTATTTTCTGCAGGCTATTTATGCCTCTCCATTGCCCATTTTTGTATTAAGTTGTTGACTTATCACTTTTTAGATGTATTTAAAAAATATGTTAGAGAGATTAGCCTTTATTATGTGAGTTAAAAAACAAACCAACCTGTTTCCTCAATGTCATTTGTCTAAATTTTGACCCAGAGGTTTTTTGACTGGCTTTAATACCAGAAACTATTTCAAAATTGGTCATTTAAAATTTAGTCATTTTTTTTAATGTTTCAGAAATATTTCTGTGTTTCTTGATGAATACTGACAATATGTAAACTGAATATTTAGCCTTCATTTCCCATAATCATATATGGTGTTTTTATTTTAATGAATATTGTTAAAAGATGTAACTATATAATGTATGTAGCATAGCAATCAAAATAATAAAAATATAAAGTAAAAAGTTACTAGTGTTTTTTCTCCCCCTTTCTCCAAAAGAAAGCTTATTCAGGAAATTATACTGAGAAGTCACAGCCTAAGGAACATAGCAGTAAACGTAAAAAAGAAAACCACAAACAGGTACATACAAAGCTGACGATAAGCAGCATTTAACTTATTTATAAGCATATTATAAGTAAGCTTAGCAAATCTATAGAAATGGAGCAGTAGATGCAGTTAAGGGTTTAGTCTAATGCTCTGGTGTCAGACTGCTTAGTGACTCTGAGAGTTTCTTAACCTCTTTGTGCCAGTGTCCTCATCTGTGAACTGGAGATGCGTACCTACTGCACAGGACTGCTGTGGGCATCAAGTGAATATTACAATGTGCAACAACAGAATGCTTATTATAGAGTGACTACTCAAGTATTTATTATTTTTATGACTTCAACTTTTTTATTAACTTTAGAATAAAGATACCATTTGATGACAGAGAAATTAATAGGAATTCCCTATTACCCATAATAAAGAATAATTTGGTCATATGGGTTAAATGTTAACCCACATTTAATATGGTATTTATTCATGCAGCTAATAATGATAAATACTACAAAAAGAATTCCTCTCTACTGGTTCGTTCTTCTGTGCCTTTCCCTAATTTAAAATTAAAACCTGTTTTAATTCAGTTGGGTGAACTCTCAGCAGTAGTCACTATTTGTTAGATATTTTACTTTGCCAAATCTCTTAGCATTAAAAACATGTATACGTTTATATTTATATTTAATATATTAAGTATATTTTAAATATATTTATATATGTTCTCTAATTTCAATTTTAATTCCAATTTATATCATATAATGGAAGTCCTAAAATCTTTTAAAAAATGTATATGATAGTCATTTTGAATACAGTGGGAGAATCAGGACAAGATTCAAATATAATATTCCCCCTCTAAATAGTGAAGAGTGAGACCCTCAAATTCAGGCCAGGTACTCTCCATGTCATCCCTGTTCAAAGCAGGTCAATTAATTGGTCATTTAACACAAAGAATGTGACCAAGCATTATTGATTTTGCCTTTGAGCAGAAACTACCACCTGTAAAAGTTAGGCAACAAAGCTCCAACAATTTCATTTGCCCCATTACGGGAAAACTAATAATAAGAATCAGATCTGCCAACATGCCCAATCTGGTTAAATGAGATTCAGTAAAACATAAACCAAAGAGTGAAGGACCCTATTATACAGTCTCGTCTATTAATCAGTGAGGAAAACACTTCCAAATACAACGAGGAATCTCATCAGTGGTAAAAACTGTAAGTTTCCCACCAAGTTGCAGATCAGCAAATCTTACCACAGAAGCAAGTGTCACTCTAAAAATCATATAACCCTACAACTGGTTATTAGGTCCACAGTAAAAGTTCTAGGGTAAGAGTTCTAAGATAAATGTCCATCACGTATTTGCTTATAATGACAAAACTTGGAAACAGTCAAGGGTTCCAGCCATCAGAGGCTGGTTAAATAACTCAAATGTTGCCCTGGCCAGTGTGGCTCAGCTGGTTGGAGAGTGGCCTCATACACCAAAAGGTTGTAGGTTCGATTCCTGGTCAGGGCACATTCCTACGTTGTGGGTTCGATCCCTGGTTGGGGCATGTATGGGAGGTGACCAGTTGATGTTTCTCTTTCACATCAATGTTTCTCCCTTCCTCTCTCTTTAAAATCAATAAACATATTTTAAAAATTTAAAAAAATAACTCAAATGTTAGTAGTACTGGTTATCTCTGATGTAAAATAAGAAATGATTTTTAACTTTTTTCTTTGTACTTTTCCATATTTTTCAAAATTTTATTTTCTACTGTGACATATATTGTTACTGAAGTTAAGAACAGTAATTAAAATCTACATAATTCAATGGTGAACACAAGACTGAATTGTGTTCTGGGCAAGTAACTTCTCAGAGCTTCAGTTTTCTTATCTGCAAAGGAGGAAGAAAGAGTAGATAATGCTCAAAGGTCACCTTCATATTCTAAAATTCTAAATTCTAGAATGCATTTACTCAGAGAAAAAAAGTACCAAATAATCCACTTGAATAAACTGCAAAGATGCTATTCTCCCCTCCCCCAACAAGCTTTCAAGGTCTCTGGACTATTTTACAGTAATATGAAATTTAAATTACTGTTGTATACTTTTTAAAATATAGAAACACAACAGTTGAGACAATACAATATCGATGTTTAGAAAAATTCAACTTAAAAATTCAAGATAAAATGAGTCAACTCAGACTAATTCTTTGGGAAAAATTTAAATTTAATCCATTTAACCAAAACAAATTGAGTCCATTGTCCACAAACAATATGTAATTTGTTTACTATGAGCAACAATAAAGGATAACTCAAAGGATCTCATTTTTACTTGCATTGCCAAGTTTCTGGGAACTGACTTACCCTGTCAGAGGCATACACAGCATCGAATAGCCCAAGGGTGGTGACAGCGATCCCCACAGCTGGACCGTTTACCACGGCAATCAGCAGCTTAGGAAAATCTATAAAACTGTCTACAAAATCCCTACAAAAAATAGAGAAACAAAAGCATGTTTAAATGTTCCAAAGCAGCATTACTGAAAAGTATAGGCAAGAGAGCAGGGCACTGTAATAATAAATTCTTCTGGCCAGGCTGGGTGTTTCTGATCACCCGGCAGTGCCTCCCTGTCTTGCCATGCCAGATTCATCCAGGACACACAGCTGAATGGTACTTGATGGAAGCTCACAGTGATTCCTATAATTGAACCTCTGTTCAAATCTTGTGTTCTCTGCAGTTAGGTCAGGACTGTAACTCAGCTATAGACTTATTAAGATGGCTGACTGAGCATACACCACAATATTAGAACCAAGGGGGAATTAGAGACTCAGCAGGGATAAACACACAGGCAGAGAGAAGTCTCATATCTTGTGTTTTTTGAGACTACTTTAAAGTCTATTACCAGCAATCATGGAAGTTGTGCATTCCTCTAGCTAACTAATTGGATGAGAGTTTGCTAAATTCCTCTGTCTCAATGTGAGAGAACTTTATTTACTTTATTTACTATAGTTTACTTTTATGCTTTCCAATCAAATCTCATGTAGAATAGCAGGATGAACAGGTAGCCAAAGTTAAAGTGACAGAATGAAAGCCTACCTACTGATAGAGGCAGTTGGAGAAATATGCAGGTTCAAAGTCACAATTAATTACACCGACACAAGAAGTATTTATTTTACTTTTGCTCAATGAAATACCAGTTTGATGAATACAGATAAGCCCTCTAGGATCAGACAAATGGTACTCTTACCTCAGCATAATAGCACTATTTTGAGCTTTCTCCTCTACTCCGCCAGGGGGAATATCAGTGAAGGCAGTCAGATCATTCCCACTAGAGTAGTAGTCACCACTTCCTGTAATTAAAAATCACAAATTCACCATTTATTCAGTCTGTAATTACTGAGTATCTACTATGTACCAGGCTCTATGCCAAGCACTGGAAACACACTGGTGAACCAGCTCTGGTTCTTGCCCCAATGTACAGACTAGTGAATAAAACAGACATTGATTTTAAAACACACTAATAAATGTAAGCCATGCAACTATGATACAAAGGAGAAGTAGATGATGATGATGTGGGTATATATCACAGGGAGTTTGGTCTAATAGGGGAGCTTAGGGAAGGGACTTTTCCAAGCAAGGAACAACTGAACTGAGATCTGAAGGACAGGCAAGGTTAGCTAGAAAAAACGGTGCAGGAAGATATTCATGCAGAGGGAATATCACACGTCAAGGTTCTGTGGAGGGGGTAACTCCCGTGTTTATGACGGGTTCAAAGCAATGCCATTGTGCCAGAGCAGAAGACGCCAGGGGGAAGAAGCCGGTGTAGGATGAGGACAGGCAGGATATAGCATGTGAGTCTCTGTAGCTCCTTCATTCGAAGAGCCATTGGTGGTATTTTTATTTGAAGTATAATTTACATGCAGTAAAATGACCAATTTTAAAGATTCAGTTCAATGATTTTTGTTAATTGTAAATACCTGTGTGATCATAGTCGAAAACAAGATACAGAACATTTCCATCATTCCAGAAAAGTTCCCTTAAGCGCTTTTCCAGACAGTACTACCTCACCCTGTCCCAAGGCTCTCTGGCTTCAATCACCATAGTTTTGCCTATATAGAACTTATTTAGATAAAATCATACAATATGGACTTTTTAGTGTCTGCCTTCTTTGCCCAACCATACCTTAAAGATTCACCATGTTTTTCTGTGTATCAGTTATTCATTCCTTTTTACTGCTGAGTAGCACTCATTGTATGAAGAGTCAACAATGTGTTCATTTATCCACTAATTGGTGGACATTTTGCCGTTTTCAGTTTTTGGCTATTGTGAAGTAGGGTACCATGACTGTTCTTGTACAATTTTTTTTTGAGATATAGCCTTACTTTACCTTCACTAATTGCCCAGGTGTGGATCGGTGTGTCACTGAGTTGATGTGTTACTCTAACAAGTTGCTAATACTCCAAAGTGTCCTCATATCAGAAATGTCTAAGGACTCCAGTTGCTCCACATCATCACCAATATTTGGTATTGCTTGTTTTTGGATTTTAGCCATTCTAGTGAGTGACATATTACATTGTAGTTTTAATGTGTATTTCTTTGGTGATTAATGATATTGAATGCCTTTTCATTTTTTTAATGAAGTGTCTTCAGTTTTTAAATCTGGTGGTTCATCTCATTAATTTGTAGTTGTTTATGTATTCTGAATATTAGTCCTTAATCAGATTTATGCATAGCAAATATTTATTTATTTTCCCCAGCCTGTGGCTTTATATTCATTTTATTACAATTGTCTTTTGATAAGCAGACATTTTAAATTTTGATAGTCTAATTTATAAATTGTTTCTTTTATGGTTAATGCTTTTTCTGTCCTCTCCAAGAAATCTCTGCCTATACCAAGGTCACAAAATATTGTTCTGTTCTAGAAGCTTTATGTTTCTGTGTTTTATGTTTAGATAACTTTTAAATTAATGTTTGTGTAAGGTGTAAGATGGGATTGAAGTTCATTTTCCCCCATATGGAAACAAAGTTGTTCTGGCACCATGTATTAAAAGATTTAATCTTTCTCCACTGAATTGCCTTGGTGCCACTTCAAGAGCTTTGAGTATAGTGAAGAGACTGCACTGGGCATGGGAGAGAGGAAGGCAAAAGAGGATCAGAGAGATTAGACAGGGACTCAACAGTTCAGGTAAGAGTCCATGGTGGCTTGTGCTAGTGCAGAGAAGACAGAAAAGAAAAAAAAAACAACAACTGATCCCAAAGATACTGATAAAGTGAAATGAGATTAGACTGGACAGGGAGGTGAGTTAAGGACCAAGTGTCAATACTGAATGTTAGGATTCTGATCTATATAACAGCGTAGATGTAGAGCCACTGCTGTGATTTGGGAAAATGAAAAAGATCCAGGTAGAGAGATGTGGGAAGCAATACCCATTAGGAAGTACCAGGTGGATACACCAGTCTGGAACCCTGTGGAGTGTCCTGAAGATACTAACATGGGAATCACTGGCATATGTATAAAACTTTTGTTCAGGTGTGGACATGAATGAGAGGGTCCAGGGAGAACACAGAGTGTGAAAAGAAGAATGCCAAGGGTTGGGGTTAAACTTTCAGGAACTCTCCTATTTGATGACCACATAGAAGATGAATCAGTGAAGGAGATTAGAGTGTGCAACCAGGGACAGCAGGAAAACCAGAGGCAGGCTATTGCCATTGGAGCCTAGGGAAGACAGAGGTTAAGGAGGGAAAGTCAGATGAAGCCTGAAAAATGTCCATGGATTTAAATATACAAATATCAGGGGAGACCAAAGCAAAAAATGGAGATTACACTGGAATGGGCTCAAAGCCCAGTTTCAAAGAAAAGATTTAAAGAATGATTTTTTTTCTTTTGGTTGTAGGGCTTTATACAGTTATATGTGGGGTACTGAGAAGCAAAGAACAATGTTTGATTTTGGTAGTAATATTACATAATAAATTTGTTCCTCAATTTTTTTCCTGTTTCCACCAAGAGCAAATAGTGTAATAAATAGTATTTTCAATAATTTTATGAGCAATAATCCTTTTCAAAATAATTTTATGGTGATCCCTCATATATATACAAAACATTAAGAGTTGAACTGTCCTACTGGACTCAAAATAGAAGTGACAAACAACAGAAAGAAATGAAAAGGTGCCTCAGAGTTCAGAAAAAAATAAAAGAGAAAACCATAACCATTAAAGAATTATGCCATTAGAAGCAGTAAAAGGAGAAGGGACATTGCTAAAATGCAATTAGGGTACTGGAACAGGATTGAGACAATTGAGCAAAATAAGTGGAGGACAACAGAGTTAGGAATTCAGAGAAAATAACAGGTAACAGACCCAGCACTTCTTTTCTCTAACTAGAATTTCTTGCAAAGAGAACAAATCAATTGAAACAAAAATATTCAGAGATATTATCAAAGAAAACTTTATAAAAATAAGTCCTTAGTAGTCAGTTTAAAAAGGATGTGCACTGCCTAGGAAAACATCATAAAAAAGGGAAAGAATCCCACAGTCATGCAGGGGAAAAATTGATCTTAAAGGATTAAAAATTAATGGTAGCCTCAAACTCTTCCCCAGCAACATTCAGTGCCAGAAAATAATGGGGCTCTATTTAACAAACTATACACTTGGAAGAGGTTTAGGGATGTCAGGGAACTCATGTTCACTTCCTTGCCCTTCACAGAGACAACCAACAGATACTGTCCAAAAGGAATAATACAAGATAGAGTTGTTGATGTAGACAACATAAAGCTATAAAAGTAATTGCTAAAAGCAGTAAAAAGCTTCCAAACTATGAGAAATAAAACACAAAACAAGAGAAACACAGACTATGAAATAAAAAATAACAATCAAATGAAGCATAACAAATCAGAAGCACGTAAGATGCTAGAACTAAAATCTAACATTTCTGTCGTACACACAAACCTAAACAGGTAAATGCACCTTTACAAGAAAAACTCAGACTGGTTCAAAGGAGGAAAACCCAAAAATACACTGCATGAAACACAGCCAATAAAAAATAATTCAGAAAAGCGTAAAGTTAAAAGATTAAAGTGTAAAAGTTTGCAGACAAATGCAAACAGTACTGAAGCAGGTGTTATGGTATTAATATTTGACAAAGCTGGTTTCAATACAAAAAGCATTAAATGAGCTGGATGGCCACTTGGTGATAAAGAATAAACTCCACAGTGAAGACCTAACCATAAATCTTTTAGTATAATTAAGATAAAAACTTGCTTTAAAGCAAAAGCTTTTTTTTTTTTAACACAAAAGAGAAACTGACAGAAACACAATAGTAATAGATGCCTTTAATTCATTTTTTTTAGTCCAAAACAGTCATTAGAAGAAAAAGCAGAATTTGGGGAATCTAAATAATATAAATTAGAAAGGTAAGTCCAACTGACGTATTTTAAACTATATACTTTAAAAGTAAAGAATAACTTACTTTTAAGAAAATTTTCATATAATTTATTACACTGTACAGGATCACATATATAAAAGAGCACAGAACTTACTTTTGAAGTTCTCCTGGATGATCAAAAAAATTGGTCATTTTCTACTTTTTCTTCAAGATACAGATTTCAACAGATAGCAATATATACAAAATTTTAATAGGTTCTAAAAAAGTACAATTAGTCAAAGTGATAACCACTGATTATAATGAATAGTTAGGAATTAACAAGAGAAATGGAAACCTTCTAGAAATTAAAGGAACTATTATTATGTAATGCTTAGGCCAAAGAGGAAATAGAAACCGAAAGAGAAGAATATATAGAAAATAACTAGTAAGAACACTATTTATCAAAACTTAATCTTTCAATTTTCTCACCTATAAATTACAGTAATAATAGGGCCTACTCTCATAGGGTTGTTGTGAGAAAGCTTAGAAAAATTAAGAAATTAAAAGAAAATTTTAAAGAGAATTAAAGTGCTTAGAGTGCCTGGCAAACAGAAGGTATTACTGATAAAAAATATTAAACATTATTATTATTGTTATTAAACTCTCCATTGTTATTAAGACATACATTCAAGTTTATTCACTGTAACACCTTTTTATTTTATTTTTTTAATCTTCATCCAAGGACATTTTTCATTGTTTTGGTGAGAGAGGAGGGGAGGGAGAGAAACATCATTGCAAGAGAGAAGCATCATTTGGTTGCCTCCTATATGCACCCAGACCCAGGCTTAAACTCACAACCTTTTGATTATAGCAGGGGTCCCCAACTTCTGGGCCCATGGACTGGTACTGGCCTGACCCTGTTAGGAACTGGGCCACACAGCAGGAGGTGAGCTTGAATGCAATGTGCTTGACTCATCCCGAAACCATCCCCCCCGTTCCGTGGAAAAACTGTCTTCCATGAAACTGGTCCCTGGTACCAAAAATGCTGGGGACCGCTGGATTATAGAACGATACTACAACCAACTGAGCCACACAAGCCAGGGCTGCAACAGCATTTTAATAGCGAGACTCAGTATAATCTACATGTTCCACAATAGAGGAATGATGAAATCAATTATAAAATCCAAAAATGTTAATACTTTGTAGTCTAGAAGAGAAAAACTTAGATGCGTAGGTACTGATAAAACAGGTTTTCAGGAAATGTTAAGAAAGGAAGGTGGGTATAATATGTGTGTGTATGCTTCCTTTTCTGTTTTTAAAAAAAGTGGAGGAAAATGAACACACACATGCTTGTACATGATATACGTAGACGCTTTCTATAAGGCATCAGGGAAAACTGAATTTTTCTGGGGTGCAGGAATGGAGTTCCAAGGAGACTGAAATTTAGTTTTGTCATGTACTTTCCATATTCTTTGGTTTTTTAAAAACCATGTGCCTATATTATAGGGGTATTAAAAAACAGTTAATTAAAAAAATATAAAACATTCTTCTCCTGTACCAAACAAAAGTTACTTGTAGACTACTATTTTTCTCATCTTCACTCTCCTGAGTTACCTGGGCATTCATGTATACTATGATGGCTATCTTCAACCCTTCACTTTTGTTCATTCCCTAGAATCAGCTATTAGATTTCTCTCTCTTCCCCTCTGCTTTTTAATAAAAGCTATCTGATACCTCTAAATAATACTTACAAGTTTTAATGATAATGAAAAGAAAATAAAAATTAATTTTTCTGCTTCTGCTATGCCAGCTTCTAACAAGTTTCTGCTGTGCACCAGGCCTCTTATCTGCATTATCTCATGTCATCACCTCAACCATTCAGTGGGGTTAATAAAACACTGCTTTCTCTATTCAGAAGCAGAGGTCACCCATAGGTAGTAAGGCGTGAATCCAGGATTTAACCTCAAGTTGATCTGAGTCCCCACTACGCATGGTGCCCCTTCCAAATCCCGACTTTCGTTTTCCTTATTCTCGTCCATCCCAGGTCCATAGGTAACCATCATATTTTCCAGTTATAATCACAGCACTGAATAATTTCTAATTTTTTTATTATATCTTAAATGTTTCCTATATTGTTGGTCTTTATACAATTATACTTTTTGATGCTTGTCTAATACACAGTAGTACATGTTCTGTAATTAGCTTTATTATTCTACTATGGCAACATAATTTAGAATGTTTTCACACTTTCACAACTCTAAGTAATGCTGAAAAGATTATCTTTCTGGCATAAGACTTTTCCCTTTGGTAAGTACCCAATTTTAGTACCAATAATACTTTTCTTAAAAATATGTATCTGCTTTTTACAGATATCAATTTTGTGCATATTAAATTTTTCATATATTTAGGAATTAGAGTATCTTAGTAACGGAAAAGTTCTTACAGCTTATATACTCAATTTCTTTTCTTATGGAAATACCTCAAAATAGGAATTTAATTACGAAATCTAAGAAAGGTTCTGCGCTTCATCTACTTGTAAATCGCCCATTCCCACTTCTGAAATCTAATACGCAATTACCCCCGTTTGCTCCTTTGTCCAAAATGTGTCCTTTACCCAATGTTGCCTCACCGTCTTTGAAATTTTCATGGATTTATTATGTCTACATGGATTCCCCATGCACATATATTAAACTTTGGTTATCTTCTGATTTAAAAAAAAAATCTAACAAAATGTCTTACCTGTTAAAACAGTTATGATTGAGTCATCCTTGCTTGCAGCTTTAAGTGCAAGAATGATTTCTTGATACATCTGTATGAAAGGGGGGAGAATAGGAAAAGAAACCTGAAATGATAACCATCACCCAGTAAATCCCCTAAATGTCAGTCTGCAAGCCTGTTCTCTGCAAAGTGCCACACATTTATGTTGGTTGTATTTAAAGGATCAAAAAGCCAGCCCAATATACTTGAAAGAATTTTTATTCCTTTCACAATTATTTGTATTCTGTACCAAGTGCTATAGTAGATGCTGGGGAAATATATCCACTTTTTTTTTTTTTTTTAAATTCTCACCTGAGGATATGTTTATTGATTTTAGAGAGAGAGGAAAAGAGAGAAACATTGACTGGTTGCTTCAGGACACTTCAACCTCCTCAACCACCCAGCCAGGGCTCCACTTTTTTCCAGAAGTGAACAAATAAGACAAAATCCTTGTGCCTTTGGAATTAATAGAGGGGATAGCTCTAAAATGCGTGGAAAGTACAAAGTAGCAGGAAGCTCAGCTGATACTTATGGAGGGAAATAGAATGGGAGGTGGCCAGAGTAAGATTTCCTCAAAGCAGTTTTTAAACTGCAACATCAAGGAAGAGTACAAGTATCCCAGGCAGTCTGGGAAATGTTAATGAGTATTAAAAGGCTGGGATTTCTAAGACACTGTAAGGATGGTGAAGCACAATAGGCAACATTCTGAAAATCTTGGATGTGTAGTTGTTACAGCTTTTAATGCATTTAAAACAGGTGCACTTTCTACCTTAGACACGATTTCAATGTGGGAGAGAATGAGGATGGGGGCTGATATTTACAGATACACAGACACTGAGGAAAAAAATACATAAAATTTTCAAAATATATGAGTAATAGTAAAATCATTTCCACTGAGGGAGGGAATGAGGAAGTCATTTTAATATTATTAAAGAGCCCTGGTTGGTGTGGCTCAGTGGACTGAGCCCCAGCCTGCAAACCAATGGGTCAATATTATTAAAGTTATGATGACATGGCACAACAGGGTAATTGGTGAAAGTCAGGATTAGGAGATAGATATATTGGGGTTTCAATTCAGGTTTTCCTGTATATTAGTCATGTGAATTTGACCAAATTACCACTTAATCTAATTATTTTATTGTTAAATAATAACAGTAGGTTCCTTGTGGGAATCTAACAAACCTTTGCGTGAAAAGGGCTGACACATATTAGGCTCTGTAAAGAGTAACTGGAATTATTATTATTACCATGATAATATAGAAATGATTCAGGATAAAAGGAAAAACAGTTCTGAGAACCAAATATTTTATTAGCCGAATGGCACATCCAACTTCATGGAATTCTTATTTAAGACTATTTTAAGTTAGTATGCCCTTTCTACTATGATGTAGATGATAAACCCAACGAAAGGGGTTATAGCCCTCTCAAATTTTACTCCTAGTTCAGCACCAAACATCCAATTAACCCTCTTATACTTTTTTTAAAGATGATAGAAATAAAGTGCTTTTTAAAATTATCATTCTAGTTCGATGACGGATTCAGAAACTAAAGTTGCTCTTATGAAGTAGCACATTGCAAGCAGAGATGGGTTATGATCTATCTCAGATGAATTCCTTCTCTCCTTTTTCCTTCTACTTATATATATGAGATAAGGATCCATGCAGGTAGAACAGTATTCACTCTCAAGTCTAACTGGCATGAAGATACTTCTGGGGACAGTCTACACCAACCTTAGAAAACCTCTACGCACATTCTCTTATATTAATGTAGGTTTCATTTATATCAGTTTATCTGTGCTTCCATCATTGGGAAAATTGTAGTTCCTTTTGGGCATGTAGAACCTACCTGAAGCTCACAAATTCTAAACAATGAAGGCCTAGCTCTGTTGTATATAGAAGTAACCACAATTACTCATCTTTCCACACAAATCAAATGAGCTATCACAAAAATAGGAACAATGCTAAAACACTAGTTTCTGAGGTTAATAGAAGAAAAACAGGAGGAAGAACCCCCAGGGAAGGCAATGTCACCTGAGTGTTGATTGCATTCTTTCTGGTGGGCTGGTTGAACATGATCTTTGTGATACCGTCTTCAGAGGTCACCACCAGGTTTTCATATTCCTGTTGTTTCCTGTCTGTTTCAGGCTTCACTTGGCTAGAGGATGCAGATGAAGAACTCAAACTGGACACCAAATCCACATAGTTCTGCCTGGCAGTTTCCTGAAGAGAAGATGGTAAATAACTTAAGCCCATGGTCAATGAATAAGCATTTTGAGGAACTTACTACACTAATAAACAGCACCTTGCAATGAAGAAATAACAGAGGTTCTGATTCAATAGAGTTACATGAAGATCTTGAAGGCTCCATCTATAATGGGCTGATGAGAAACACCCAGCTTCCTTTAGGAGTAAAAGAAGTAAAATAAAAGTAAAGTAACAAATAAATTTACCTTGGGAAGACTGCCAAGAGCATTCCATGAATCCCATTTGGCTTTATTAATAAAGTCAAATGCACCTGGTTTGGGCATATTACAAGGCCCTTCAGTGGCCTGTGAAAAGGAGAGGGACAATTATTAGACGAATGTCCATGCAAATTGGAACCTTAAATTTTAAGATCCATAAAGCACACAGCTAGGCTGAATGCACCTTCCCTACCAAATACTGGCGCAAGGTAGATAAACTGACCTGAACAATCCCCTTGCTTCTCTTTGATGCTGTTGCTACAAAGGCACAAACAACAAAAAAAAGACTGGAGGGACAAGATGTTCCATTGGCTATAAGTCCCTAACATAAGTTATAGCTGCCTACATATGAAAATATTGCAAAGGTTGTGGGAAAGCACTTTTCAAAAATTCTACCAGTTCATTAGTTTTAAATTGATGATCACATTTTTCACATACAATTAAAATATTCAAGCGAACAATCTTCAAAGGTAATTAGTTAACAAACATTTAGAAACCCATAGTATATTCTTCTGAAAGCCCAAAGGTACAAAATACTACCACTAATTCAGTGGTGGATTTCCAGTAACTGAGCAACAGAGTTGTAGCTGAGGGAGCAGAGTGAGGCTGTCAGAAACAATGTCCCTGAGGAAACTGACCCAAAGGACATGTGAGTAGAAAGCAAAAAGCAACTAGACTTTGTTTGAGAGTAGGTAAAGTGAGTTTTGAGAGGAATAAAATATCCTAGTTAACTACTTTTCAAAAATGGAAATTTAAAATGCCACATAATAACCACATTTAAAAATGTTAAATTGTATAATACAATCAGCTAAAAGAGGAAAGAAGAGCTTTGAAAAACAAAGGCAGTAAACAAAGCTAAGACTTACCAAAGACAGACAAAAGTGACTCTGCAAGAGTTAACCACCTGAGAAATTAGAGGCAACAAAGTCCACAAGACTTCCCCTACTTCCAATGCCAAATGCAAGGTTTGGGAGCTTGTGGTACTACCCTCAGGTTCAGTAACCTGCTCAAGTAACTCACAGAACTCGTGATTATAGTTTACTGCCAGGAAAGAATACAGTTTAACATCAGCAAGGGAGGAGAAGTATATGGTGAAGTCTGGGGATGTGCCCTCCTCCCGCTCCCACTGGGGAGGTCAGGGCAGTGTACCTCTCCCAGAATTGATGTGACAATGCACATGAAGTGTCATCCACCAGGAAAGCTCACGCAAGGCTTGGTGTTCAGAGTTTTCATTTGGAGCTCCACTGCCTATTTCATTAAATATGTATATGAAGCCCTCCCCCAAAACACAATGCTGTTACCCTGTGGACAGCTCCCCTCTAAACAAACCTGTTAAGACTGCAGGCAAACAAAGATACTCCTATCAGGCAAGGCATTTCAAGGGTTAAGATATTAGGTGTTCTAGGTTTAGATATTAGGTAATCTAAGATAACTCTGTCCCAAAGCCAAGGGCAAAGGCCAGTCCTCTTTTGGGGCAAAGTTAAATTCTTTACATAATACACTCATATGAAAGTAGGAAAGGCTTAAAGCAATCATAAAAAGAGAAAAAGAGGTAACACACAGGAGCCCAGAAGGGCTGACTTCCCAGGGTTGCAATATCTAATCTTTAGATACTGCAACTTAAACTTACATTTTAAAATTTTGTTATAAAAAATTTCATGTACAAAAATAAAATATTATAATGAATTCCTAATATTCATCACCCAAATTCAATAACTATCATTTTTGCCATACTTGCTCCCTACATTCTTTTTTTATTTTAGTAACTCCCAAACACCATACTATTTCACCCCTGCACTCTTAGTATGCATTCCTGAAAAAACCCCCAACATTTTCTTATGTAACCATGATACCATTAATGACAGTTCCTAGGTATCATCTACTACTCAGTCCATATTCAAATTTCCCCAATTTTCTCAAAACAACTTTTTCAGTTGATTTATTCTAATATGCAGAAAATAAGGTCTACACATTTGGTTGTCACATCTTTCAAGTCTCTTACTCTGGAAAGATCTGGAGGGGGCTACTTTTTGCCTTAACAGGATTTGAAAATATAATATACAAACACATGTATGTATGCAATGGGGCGCAGAGCATATCCCCCACAGTCCTTGATTGGGGGAAGAGGGAGTGGATGATACTGCCTTTAAGATACATTGCTTAACAAGGGCAAGTTAATAACTGTGCCTTTCTGAAGGGAAGAGCGCTGCTGCTCAGGGCCAGTTCTGTATACGACTGAGAACATTCAGCGGCTTGTGACATAGCTGGGGAAGGGAGAGCTTATAGAGCACCTGTGTGAGAGGCAGGGGGCAGATGCCCACCTCGGATGTCCGTGCACTGCTTGGAATTTTTGCCCTGATTAAAGATGGCAGCAAAAGAAAGTAAAAGATATGGGGAACTGGCAAAAATGGCAGACACTAACACATGATAGGAGGGGCCAGATATGAGGTCACATATGTAATTCTTCGCCGAGTATTTAAAGGAGGGCAGGCTGAAAGAAGAACAAAAAGAGCCATGAGGTCTGAAATAAGAGAGAGAAGGTTGGAAAGTCTGAAGTCCCATGAGTTGTTGGAGCTGGCAGTGCAGCTGGGGAAGGACCTGCCCAGCTCGAGTGTGCCTGGAGAAGACAGCAGCACCGCTGGTGGAGCTAGGCGGAGCGCTCACCTGGCCTCCTGGGTTCATGAGGTGTGCTTGGAGCTCAACTGTGAACGGGAACGCTCATCTGTAGACCTAGGCTTTTCTGAAAGACAGTAACTCTAACTGGCATGTTCTGAAACTGGCCTGGTTTGGCAAAGGGAGTGGGACTTAACAGCAGAAGTCTGCCACTCTTCTAAATCTCCAAAACCTTTAAATAAACAGCCATTTTCCTTTTATCACCAAACTCCTGCAGTGGGAGTCACGCTTGTTGGCGTAGGCAACTGAATCCTGCAACTGTTCCACAACAGTACTGGTGGGGTTCTGTAACAGGGACCACAAAGGGATGTTGATAATTGCCTGCAGCAGGTCAGCCCCCTTGGGAGCAGGAGTGTGGGACTGTGCAGTTCCCCGGTCTCTTGAGAATTTCTCTGCGCACCTCTTGAGGACATTGGCTGCCTAAACCTGCCTGGCAGGTAGAAAGGAAACAGGTCTGAGAAGGGGACAGGCTCTGAGAAGTGACCCTGTTTGGCAGAAAGTTTGCTTGTGAGTATTGTTTGGAATAAGAGTTGTGGGTTCACGTTTTGCTTATATGTTGCCAGTTGGCCTGCATTATTTTGGTTATAGGTTTGGGCCCATACGTCCAGGCCAATAGGGGCTGTTCTATGCTGGCCCCTAGGGGGAACCCACTGGGTAGAATTTTGGAAGCCTGAAGTATGTACTGCCATTATCCAGAGTTCAAGGAGGTATTGGTTTATTACTGTAATACTGTTTGGCCTACGTCTGTTTTGGATTGTGGGGAAAGGTGGCCCATATATGGTTTCCTAAGTTACTGTACTATTACGCAATTGGAACAGTATTGCCAAAGGTTGTACATGGGATGAAATCCATTATTTCAATGCATTTATGTCATTGTATAATAGGATTTTGTCAAGGTCAGAGAATTGCTTGATGGTACAGAGAAGGGAAGTGGCCCCAAAACATCTCCCTAATAGTAAAACACAGGAAGAAAAGAAGAATGAGAAGATAAACTTAAATCAATGTTCTGAACCTAGGGGACCAAGATTGGTGGCAGGAGGAGTTTCCTTGCCACCACCCCCTTCCTTGCCACCACCCCTGAAGAGGAGACCACAGAGTCAATGGCTCTACTCCTGTATATTGAGGGAGAGGTCTCCCCACCAAAGACCTGTCAGAGTACCCAATTAAACCAGAGAGCCTCCCAAGTCAGAGCAAGCCAATTCTCTTTGACGCAATATCCTATAGGTGGAATAAATCGGAAATCCAGCCTGCCAGCCACTATTGGGCCCATACTCCTGCTGGGAAACGCCCTGCCTGGTTTCAGGAGCTGTAACCCTGCCGACAGGCTGGAGGGCCCCAAGGCTGGAAATAATCAAGGAGGCCTTAGAGAAACAGGCTCCTGAGGAGACATAACCTGTTGCCCCTGGCAGGGGCATAGCTCCTGCCTCTCTGCTTTGCCATGGATGACCGGTTATCAAAGACGGGTAAGTTATCTCGAGCTGAGGGATACAACCTAAGACAGATGCCGATCGAATATTGGCAGCAGACAAGAAATTGGGGGACACGGAGAAAGGCACAAAGGCCTGCACCCCTTGGCTTGGCTTGGACATGGCCGGAGTCCTCATTCTATCTGAAAGCAGTCTCTTTGTCTCTTGGCAGCTCCCTCCCCACACCTGGCTCAGGCTTGAAACTATACCGGGAGTCTGTCCTAAACCAGGTCTGGCAGTTTCAGGGAAATCAGGCCTAAAAGTAAATTCTTTAAAGTGTGCTTTGTTCTTTCCTCAGAAGCTCTAGCCAGCTCATGCTGGGAAGGAAATTTACATTATTCACAGACCCTAACCCTATACCCTGGGGCACTCTTATGTTTACTATGCTCTCCTGTTTACTTGTCTCTTGTTTACTAGTCTCCTCTCAGACCCATGTAAATCGGTGTGTTCCTGCCATGTTTCCTTCAAAACACCCATTCTCTGTGAATATTAACATACGGATGTAACGAGGTAACCTGTGCATTCCTGTTAACCTAGCTGCACTGATAACCTTTCCAATAAAAGTCTCTGAACAAAGGGACTTGGGGTCTTCCCCACTACAGGGATGTGTCACGTCCTCTCTCCTGGCAAACAGAGAAGTGTCTGTGATGATTCGTGTTTATTCCCCTCATCTGTGACAACCCCAGGATGGCTCTCCAGGATTCAGAGCCCTCCTCCCATCTCAGCTGGCCCCGGATGGTATCCCTCAGGTCCAGGAGTGCCGCACTCCCTGCGGCGAGCTCCATCCCTCCAGTGCCGTAGTTGCTGCCCGGGCCTGGGACCGGAGCGGCGACCCGAGCGGCGCTCCCCGCAGAGGTGTGCCCTGTCTGCCCTCCACACAATGCAACATACTCTGTTTTCCACTTCAGACTTAGTGGATTAGAAGAATTCTAATCCCTTATATAGGGA